CCCCCCCCTCGCCAGTCGGGGAATTTATTCATTGTTGTTGCGTGTTTTTCTGGGTATAAGACCCGCCCGCGCCGCGGTCGCGTCTGGGGCCAGAGCGGGCGAGGTGGCGCCAGACGGCATAAAGTAATTGAACACGGTACAGTGAGAATCAGATCGAAGAAGTCAATGCCCCACACAAGGCATCAAGAGGAAATCCCTTCACAACCCGACTTTGGCGCAAACCACTGCCCCAGCCTCTCCATCTTGTACGAGATGGATTGCATAATAGCGCACTTCAATTAAACAGAACTAGATGCACCTGCAGACTGATTCCGAAGAGCGCTCTCCCATACCTTCCGTATAGCTCCGTCCTTGTCGCACTCATGGGGCAGCACCCCTTGAGCGCTCTTCGGTATCAGTCTGCTGTCTTACTTGAGTAGGTATAGTAAGGACGACGTCAATCCCGACAGATGGGAGAGCTCATCTCGAATACGGCTCGCAGAGAGACGGGGTCGGAAGAAGACTGTCCGTTTGCTTCCTTCTGTTTCTGAACGGTTGTCAATGCTCCCCCGTGCCCTCCCTCCCCCTTCCCTGCGGTATGCATCGCAAACGTGAAACGGAACCGCATCGGCACGCCAGTTATGCTACGTGGAAAAAGAGGGGGGGGGGGAGAAAACGAAGGGGTAAAGGGGCGGGGGCATCCAGTTCGCGTTCAAATAAATTGGACGCACCGCGGAGCTGTACCGCGAGGCTTCGCGAGTGGGATAGAGGGGCGGTTCGTGTTTCATACGCGTCCCGGCCGCCTCCTGCCTGCATACGTCGCATCCGCCGTAAACACGCAGCGGTTGACGCGCATCATTTTGATTTTTGACAGTTCGACAACCGAGGAGATGGGGGAATGGGAGAGGGGGGGGGGTGATTCCCGTGCTGTGCAGGTGACACTCGACGCTATGGCGACGGTCGGCTGACGACCCGCCGGGAAAAGTACACGGCACGCTGAGCGCGTCGTCTTTGACAAAAGCAATGCGCCAGCACGCTCAGCCACGCTCGGCCCGGCGTGAAGTGATCGTGTGGGCGTGGAGTAAATGGGAGGGGGGAGAAGAGAGCTGCGAGCTCTATAGTGGCTGCCTGAGGGTGGTGGCGTGGGCGCGAAATCTGAACCTGGCCAGAATTTTGTTTTGTAGACTTATCTGAAAGTAAAACAAAACGACCCCAGCTCAGCTGCCCGTCTTCTTACACACGCTCACCCTTGTATTGGCGTACTACGGAAGCTGTGTTTTAGCCACCGCTGGTGCGACCATAGAGAAACGACTAGTCGTTTCTCTATGGGTGCGACGCTATTGACGCTAGGTTGTATGGGCTGACCGCTGCGGGTGGCCCGCCCGCAAGCGCGTAGGTGAGGTTCCGGAGAGTGGAGTGGGGTTGAGAGCGGGGGGG